CCAAAAATAATTTTAAGATGATCATTTGTTGCTGAATTAATGTTTTTTTAATTGATGCTCAGTTTTATTATTATGGTTTTGCATATGTTATTGTTGAAGACATTTTTTGCTGCTTCATATTTTGTTGAAACCCTACTTGTTCCTTGGGATGTAGTCTTTGAATAGGAAGTTCAAAAGTAGTTTGGAACATCACAGCAATACTTGCTGTACACTTTTTAAGCAATTGAATGCATGCTTTATTCTTAAATGTACTTACCTTATTAAAACAAATTAGTATATAACAGCTTCCACAGAAAAAAAAAACTTTTGTAAAGCATTTTGATCAGTAAATAAATTGATGTTTAATGTGCTTGAGAAATAATGATAAAAAAAAAATCAACTTGGCAACATCTTTCACAGTCATAATTTACATTTAAAAAACATTGCTTTTAAAGAGTAAAACAGGGTTTTAAACAACTTCTACTCTAAGGATGTCAAACTCAATTCCTGGAGGGCTGCAGCCCTGCACAGTTTAGTTCGAGGTGTGTTTAATTAGGGTTGGAACTAAACTGTGCAGGGCTGGAGCCCTCCAAGAATTGAGTTTGACATCCTTGGAGTAGAAGTTGTGATGTTCAGTGTTTCTTATAGTCACATGTGAAAACGTTAAAGAAACAAATAATAAATCTCAATTCATCTCAATCTGTCCATCCTTCTATAGCATTTTCATCTATACATTCATGTTTTTATCTAATTTTATTTATTTATTTATTTATTTTTTTGTTTAGTTTTTGAGCTAAATTATTAAAATCAGATTTTATTGTTTTAAACTGTGTTGTGAAACTAAAAATGATACAAAAACTATATATATATATATATATATATATATATATATATATATATATATATTATTTTTTAATTTTATTATTTTTTATTATTATTTATATTTTTTCTTTTTTTTTTATTAATTATGATTTTATTTGTTAATTTAATTATATTTTTTATTATTTTGAAGCAAAATTGCTAATCACATTTTATTGTTATAAACTACAATATATTCTCTGAAATTAAAAATGATGAGGTATAATTATATATATTTACTGCAGTGTTACCATTATTTTCTTGCTCAGTTTTTTATGCTATGCAAGGCTGCGTTTTTATGTAGTTCTAAATTAATAATGTCAACTATAAATATTACAGCTGCTAATATCCAAAAACATCCAAAAAGTACTTTTTAATGTTTGCATTGTGTTGTAGAATTCAATTTGTAACCATGTCCAAGTGTCCAGGGGTCCATTCTTTTACTCTTTTAGCTGAATTTGATTATTGGTGATTTTACATGATTCAGCCAACTGTTGTATTGCTGGTCATAATTTCGAGAATCGATAGATCTGTCCTTCACAACAAGCATGGGCACACAGCAATATCAGATCACTTCTGATTCACCAAGAACCAAATTACACAGAGATCAAATATCAAGATTAAAAGATCCAGGATCAAATCATCTTAGATTGGTACTAAGATTGGACGCCGGGTATGTCTATGTAACAACCAAATTCATCTCATCAGGTTTTTTTTTTTTACAGCTGACGTTTCTCTTAATTGTGTTTCAGAATCAGATTGGCTGGAGGAATGTCACTCGTCTCCTTGTGTTTTCCACGGACGCTGGATTCCACTTTGCTGGAGACGGAAAACTGGGCGGCATCGTGCTTCCTAATGACGGGAAATGCCATCTGCAGGATAACATTTACACCATGAGCCATTACTATGTAAGTGTGTGTGTTACACCGTGATTGATTACTTTGCTGTGTGCCTCCAGGAATATATGTAAGGAAGTCTCATTGTTTTCAATCCTTCTCCTCTAGGACTATCCATCCATTGCACATCTCGTTCAGAAACTGAGTGAAAACAACATCCAGACCATTTTTGCTGTAACCGAGGAGTTCCAGCCTGTTTACCAGGTTAAAAAAAGCTGTCTTTTGTGTGTGCATGAATAGGGCAGGCATGTCCTGTAATATGAGGAAACGGACTTGATAAACTGTTTTTGTTTGATCTGCAGGAGCTGAAAAACCTCATTCCCAAGTCAGCAGTGGGAACGCTTACCTCCGACTCCAACAATGTGATCAAACTCATTATTGATGCATATAATGTGAGTAGGCCACAGAAGCACAGGCAGAAATTCATTTAGCCAATTATTTTAGCTGCTGCTTTGTTTGATTTTTGATAAGTTCCTGAAAAATGTAATGTTTCGTAGTAACCTTGATTTGAAATGACATTGCTTAAAATAGGCCTGGAGGAAATACAGTGGTCTCTCGTTAATCGCGGAAGTTACGTTTTTAATCCCTCACTGCACACTTTTTACACTTTTCTCAGACGATCATTAACATTTTCACACTTTACGCTCTTGTTTAACACTCGCGTAACTTCTACCTTCCTTTAGCAAGTCCAGAAGTCTGATTTCATGTGTGAGGGTTAGCGTCTTGCTCTGCCTTTTGGGTGCTATCGTGGGTTCCTTTGACAGTGTGAAACGTTTCGTCGACATTGTGGGGTTTTTTGGGAAGAAAACTGGCAAACATACAGTATAGCACTTCAGAGTCACGTCTGTGCATACATAAACTCAATTTTTTTTTATTTTAAGAGTTCTGGCTTTTGTTTTTTTTTTATTATTATTTTTTTTCTTTCATTTTTATTATTATTTAATTATTTTTTTGAACATACATTTGTAAATTTAATGCAACACTTGGGAATGGTTTGTTTGTCTGATTGTTTTTGTTGTTTGTACTATTTGAAAATCCTTAATAAAAAAAATAAGAAGAAAGAAATTAAAAACTGCTTTTATTCTAGTCGAAATAAAACAAATAAGACTTTCTCCAGAAGAAAAAATATTATAGGAAATATTGTAAAAAAATAAATATCTTTTGAGAAAAATTTGAAAAAGAAAACAAAATCCACAGGGGGGCAAACAATTATTAATTAATTAACTTTATTAAAGAAACCTTTATAAATGGCTTGACTGGTCTTTTTCATCAATCGCAAATCGCAATCTTCTTTCTTAATTCTGTGCATTAGTCTCTGTCCTCCGAGGTGATTCTGGAAAACAGCAAGCTACCTGAAGGTGTGTCCATCTCCTACGTCTCCCACTGCAAGAACGGAGTGAGTGGAACAGGAGATAATGGGAGAAAGTGCTCCAACATCTCCATTGGGGACGAGGTGAGATCAATTTCCTCAATCTGAAAACTTTATGCAGATCTAGGACCAGTTTTCTAAATGGATCTTTTGCTAAACTACATAGATTCCAAGTCAAACAAACTTTAAGAGCAGTTTAGTAATAAAACATTAATTTTCTTGTTGGCTTAGTCCCTTTATTAATCCGGGGTCGCCACAGCGGAATGAACCACCCACTTATCCAGCAAGTTTTTACGCAGCAGATGCCCTTCCAACCGCAACCCATCTCTGGGAAACATCCACACACACCTTCACACACACTTACATACACTACGGACAATTTAGCCTACCCAATTCACCTGTACTGCATGTCTTTGGACTGTGGGGGAAACCGGAGCACCCGGAGGAAACCCATGCGAAGACAGGGAGAACATGCAAACTCCACACAGAAACACCAACTGAGCCGAGGTTCAACCCAGCAACCTTCTTGCTGTGAGGCGACAGCACTACCTACTGCGCCACTGCCTCGCCTAGTTATAAAACAAACACTATAAAATGATAGCTGTAAGAATAGATGTTAGCTGTTTTGTTTCATTTATTTAAGCATACACTCTTCCTTCAATTTTTAAACTTACTCTTTGGCTGTGAGTGTTTTTATTGTTTATTTATTGAAAATCAAATATATTCTGAAAGTGATTCCAGTTAAATCACTCCTTAGTGTTGTTAAAGGGTTAATTCAACCAAAGATTTAGTAATTCATGAGTCACCTTCAGATCATTCCAATCATAATGTTCATAACCACAGCACAAGTTAAGATATTTAAGATATTTGCGATGAAATCTGAGAGCTCCCTCATGGTCCTTAGACAGCAAAGGTCCTAAGATGTTCATAGTCCAGAAAAGGAACCATAAACTTTGTCAAAACATCAGTGGATCGACTGTAAATAAATACAAAGTTCCTTCAATATTTTTTGTGCACCACAATTGATTGTCTTCTGCATTAGATCAGGGTGTGCATATACTACTGAGTTGTGTTTTTGTTGTTGGTTTTTAATAAAATAAAAGTTTGAATTATTAAGTGAGTTGTCCTTAAAACAAGCTAAATAAACTGCCAATGGGGTAAGCAAAATAGTATTTTTTACACTTTTAAATAAGATTATTTTACTCACCCCATTGGTAGTTTATTTAGCTTTTTTTTTTTTTTTAAGGAAAACACTTAATTTTGACTCATTTATGAAAACAAGACACTATTTTCTTGTCTATGAAACAATTCCTCATTTTTGAATTTTTGAATATTTGCACTAGAAACAAGAAAAAAACTCATTTTTTGCATTGCAGGGATTCGGAACTACTTGAGAGTGTTTAATTAATAACAGAATTTCTATTTATGGGTGAACTAACTCTTTAATGTTATATTTAACAGCTTCCCTATTTCCGTAAATGCAGTTACTAAATGTGAGAAATGAGCTAATATTTCAATCAACAGGCAAAGTGGTTAAGCAGCTGCTTGCTTCTCTTTAAGTCTCAGCTGTTCTTACGTTCCTTCCCCCATTCAGAGGTGTGTGCATATAAAGTATATTTCCATAATCTAATACTGTTAGAAGTGTATTCTCAACTAAACATTTTCGAGCTGCAAAGGAGAAACTTTTTTTTAACGAAAATTAAAACCTAATTAAAAAAAAAAAAAGACTATCAATATGAAAACTAGTCATATAAGTCAACTTATCATCAAACCAGACACCTAAATATTTATAAAATGTAACTTTTTCGGGTATTTTTGCATTCTATACTAATTTTAAGCAACCAAGAGATGTTTGGAATGAATTAAAAGTATTTTGTACAAAGTCTATTACCACTTTTATAGATGAAGCAGATTATTGTGTCATCTGATAAAAGTGTACATTTACAGACTCAACAGCTTTAGCAAGTTAATTTATATAAATAGAGAACAAAATTGGCCCCAAAATTGAACCTTGAGGAACACCTATCTTTACTGTTAAAGCAGAGATATGATTTTCTATAGAAACACACTTCTTTATTCTTTATCTTCTTTATCATCCAGTGCAGTGATATTTATTGAAAGGGTAAGAATATTTGGATAATAAAACATATTTTAAAAGAATGTGTTTTTTCAAATAACATTAGAAAATGTTTTTATTTAGAAATTATTTTACGAGAAATATTTAAAAAGGTTAATTCTAGAGGAATTTTTGAGTATTTAATTATCAAATTAAAAGATTGCGTATGACTCTTTTTCATTGTTGTTATTATTTGTATGTTTTGTAAGGATTATTTACAGTTTTACCCCAAAAAATGAGCAGTCTGTCAGATGAAGAAGAGCCGGAGTCAAAGATTTGAATAAATAAATAAAGTTTACTGAAGATAGTTTGCAGTTTCATCAGCAGAAGCCAACTTCAACACTCGCAATGAGTTCCTAGGCCGCTCTACTTACAATCACAAATTAATAACAATTATACTCTCACATAACGGCATTAACTGCATCATACATATAGGTGTTCTAACCTGATTGGTTAAATGACAGATAGACTTGGAAAATTTCCATGTGGGTGCGTGCGTACAATTCTGAACAATATCTTAAGCAAATAAACGTCAGACATCCACTAAACTGTTTAGAACTGATCCCAGACCTGTGGAAAGGATCCACAATCAAATAGAACACACACACACTTAAAGTACAATCTGTTTCTTACCCAAGGCTGAGTGTACCCTCAGCCGTCTTTATCAAAACTGGTTAAAAACCGGTATAATCTACATTCAAGCAGTTATATTCTTACTACACAAACTTTATCCTAAATAAAAAGTAGAATCACCTTAAAAGTATAAAACGTAAAAATAGCAAAATCACTTTAGACATTTTAGATTAGGTATAAACCCATATAAATAACAATAGAAACAGTTGCTTCCAGTCCACAGCCCTTCAGTTTTACTCGAGGTCACCGAGACCTCTGACCTAGTTTGGAGACTCCTGAAAATAGTTACAAAGAGACAGGCAAATGCACTGAACATACTTATATTCAGCAATGTGTTAACTTTATTTATTAGTTCAAATATTTCAAGGTTAAATACTCATTTAAATAATCAAATAATCATATTTAATAAAAATAATAAAAAACTTGGTGATGAAAAAAGCATAAAAGTTGATCCATGCTGAGACGGATGTGAAATGGATGTGATTGCAGGTTATATATTGCTTATTTTGTAAAGGTTGTGCCATAAATATAGCCAATGTTGCTGATATGGCATTAAAGCAAATAAATAAATAAATAAATAAATAATATTAAAAGAATGAAACTTATTAAAAATGGCAAAGATCACAAAGCAAAATTCAGCAAGTGCTCACTCTTGTCTTTCTGCATGACAGGTGGCATTCGAGGTGGCGATCACTGCAAAAGGCTGTCCTTTGAATGGAAAGTCTGAGACCATGAAGATTAAACTGCTGGGCTTCACTGAGGAGGTGGAGGTCGTCCTCAACTTCATCTGTGAATGCGAGTGTCACAAAGATGGGATTAAAAACAGCCCAGTGTGTCATTTTGGCAATGGTACCCTGGAGTGTGGAGCGTGCAGGTGAGTTATTCACTCAAACTGGCTGTAGCATCTGTATACTCCTCACACTCAACTGATAAATATGGTCTTATTCAGGTGCAATGAGGGACGCATTGGCAGAGTTTGTGAATGTAGCAAAGATGAGGTGAGGACTGAAGATTTGGACGCAAACTGTCGTATGGATAATGGCACTGACATCTGCAGCAACAACGGAGACTGCGTTTGTGGAACGTGCGAATGCAAGAAAAGAGACAACCCTGAGGAGAGATACAGTGGAAAGTTCTGCGAGTGCGACAACTTTAACTGCGATCGCTCAAACAACAAGCTCTGTGGAGGTACAAATGAGATTTTTTTATATATGTATATAAATACCACAAAATGTGTTTAAAATGCTAATATACTGACAATAACACTGCTCTGATTGAATCTTGACACATGAATGATTACTGTAAATGTTTTAACAGATTAAAGCTTCAACCTAAAAGTGTTTCTCCGTCTCTCAGGTCACGGTCGGTGTGATTGCAGAAAGTGTATCTGTGATGCTAACTACACCGGCAGCGCGTGCGACTGCTCTCTGGACACCTCCACCTGTCTGGCCAGCAATAAACAGATCTGTAACGGCCGCGGCAACTGTGAATGCGGCGCCTGTAAATGTACCGACACCAAGTTTCAGGGTCCGACTTGTGAAATCTGCCCAACGTGCCCTGGAGTTTGTACTGAACACAAGTGAGTTATTAACTAAAGCCACCAAGATCTGGCTGGAACTACTTCAGGTGTACACAACCAATAATTCCTGGTGTATTAAAATCCATTACATTTTGTAGCTAAAGTTTACATTATCTAGATGAATTTGTTGAAACATGAGTTTGTTTCAGTCATATCTTATTACTATTTTATAATCTATTGCAACAAATTATAATAATGTGGGAAATGTTGAATGTTTCTGTTTATAAACACATTTTCCTTGCAGGGATTGCGTCCAGTGCCGGGCATTTGGTACCGGTGACAAGAAAGACACGTGCGAGGAGCAATGCAGCTATTTTACTATGAAGGTCGTGAAAAAGAAAGAGGATCTTCCTCAACCCAACGATCAGCCCATCATCAATCACTGCAAAGAGCGGGACGCCAACGACTGCTGGTTCTTCTTCACTTACGCCACCAGGAACGACAGCAGCGTTATGGTCCACGTGGCCGAGGAGCTTGGTAGGTGAAGTTTTGAAAGAGCACCAGGAGGTCTTGATGTAGGATTTCTTATGTTAATAATGTTTAACTTGTGTCCCTTAATGCTTTGTGTCCGTGTTGACAGAGTGTCCCTCTGGCCCTGACATCATCCCTATTGTAGCGGGTGTGGTCGCAGGAATCGTTCTGATAGGTTTAGCCCTTCTGCTCATCTGGAAGCTGCTCATGATCATTCATGACCGCAGAGAGTTTGCCAAATTCGAGAAGGAGAAGATGAATGCTAAGTGGGACGCGGTATGTTTCTCTAAATTATTTTCATACTAAAGGCCTGTTCAAACCAAGCATGATAACGATAAATATAACGAAAAATACCACACAGACAAACTATAATGATCTGTTTATTTTTAGATGATGCTTTTACTTCAGCATTACTCCTTGTAACCAACAGGTGGCATCAGTGTGCCAATAGCGCATTTAAACATAATACTGAGCTTGTGACTAATTACCCCTTTTATGTATTTCTGTATGTATTGTATAATCTTAGCATCAAATTACAAAAAATAATTATCACTGGATGATGCGGTGGTGCAGTGGGTAGCACGTTCGCCTCACAGCAAGAAGGCCGCTGGTTCAAATCCGCTGGGTCAGTAGCCATTTCTGTGTGGAGTTTGCATGTTCTCCTCATGTTAGTGTGGGTTGCCTCAGGGTGCTTTGGTTTCCCCCTCAGTCCAAAGACATGTGGTACTGGTGAATTGGGTATGCTAAAATTGACCGAAGTGTGTGTGTGTGTGTGTGTGTGTGTGTGTGTGTGTGTGTGTGTGTGTGTGTGTGTGTGAGTGCGAATGAGTGTGTGTGGATGTTTTTTGTGTGTGGATGTCTTCCAGAGATGGATTGCGACTGGAAGGGCATCTGCTGCGT